CTCTCAGCCGTCGTGCCTCGTCCGTGGGGCAAACGTGTGACTGTGGGGCTTCGCCGTGCGTGCGGGGGGCCCGTGCTTTGGGAACCTGTTGTAATTATTTCTTATAGGCCGTATTTATTTATATTTTCCCCCCAATGCTATTCCTTAACAAGGAGTTGCATCTTCAGGGCGTTTTAAGCTGTACTATCCAAGTCCTAAATCTAATTAATTATTTTCATAAATAACTGCATTATTTGTGCACACCCTGGTATTGCTGATCTTTGGGTGATGTCCATATTGTGTGTGGAAACTTGTGACTTCATAGTCCTTACATCTATGACATGTCAGTTATTTTCATTTAATAAGGTAATAAATCATGATGTCAAAGATTGACAATATGAGGTTGGTGTTAGGAACTGAAAGCACAGCATGTAGTTTAATGAGCAGTAAATATACCCGAAATGAAGGGGATATTTATTTTTCTCCTTTTAAAATACGTTTATACTTCATTTCATTCAAAAATGGAAAGAGAATACCATATTCCAAGTACAGTGGCATGGTAGCGCAGAAATCAAAGCACACTTTGTATTATTCAGCTTTTTAACTAGTAGGTGGATATTACTAATGACTTAACAGCAGCAAGAAAAACTAGTACATTATTATATATTTCAGATAATACGCACTGTTAGCATTAATGCAGAGGATTCTTTACATCTTCATGTAATAGGTACCCCGATGATTTAACTTTGAAAATGCTGTAGCTTCTTTTATTATCTCTGGCTAGCTCGCTCTGTTAGTGTTTTGTCGTGCTTATCACCTTGCTGTCTAACCGATTCTCACTCTGAAATCCTACAGTAAAAAACGAATACCAGCATTTTGCAGTGTAAAGTATTTTTGAGATGCCACTGTTGTAGCTGCTGCGTACCCTTCGCATTTCAATATTCAAAACTGTTGACTTTCAAAAATGCAAACCCCACCACCTCCTTCTCAGTCGAGATTCTGCACGCCGCCGGGGGCATGCCGGGGCTCGTGTCCTGGTGGATTGCTGAGATACCAGCCGGCTTGGTTCAGTGAAGATACCTTCCAGCTTCACTGGTCCATGTCATTTGAAGGATATGTAGTGGTGTTCTGACCACTGAATGCTTACAAGTGTCATGGATGCTGCAAGAATCTGATACCCCTGGTGCTGGGAGCTGGCTTTCCCTGTAAGCGGGAGCATACACAAAAGGATCGCACTTTAAGTAGACCTAGATTAGATTCTAAGTTGCGCTTACTTAATGGCTTATGGGCGACTCCAAATACCACAAATACCACGTTTTTTATTTGTAATAGGTCTGCACGTCTGTGCAGAGAGTGGTATTTCAGAGACCCTTAACCGTAGTGGGTGAAAACGTACCGTCACCTTCTCAACTTTAATGTGTGTTTAATGACAGCATCGTAACTGGCTTCTCTTGATTGGGTTCTTCGGTGGCGGTGAAATCAGAGCACAACCATTTAGATTTCTCTTATTTACAAGCTGGCACTAGAACTTACTCAAAACGTTAAAATGTTGGAGATGTTGAAATGCTCTGTGATACAGAATGCAATTATTATATTTTCATTTTTGGTTTTGGGTGATATTCCTGGGAATTCGTAAAGGTCACGAAGGCCCATCTTTGAATCTTAATCACTTTAAGATTTCATCAGGCTGCCTAAGTGTACAAATGCCGCCTTAAACATGAACGAAGAAACAAAAGAAACATACCCAAGACTATAGAGATTTCCAGACTTGTTCCTGTTACTCATAGTTTCTCTAAAGCTGCAGTGACAGGCTGACATTCATTCAGTAAAATTTTATTTTAAGGGAGAAAATCTGTAAAGAGTTTCTTAAGTTACTAATTTGCAGAAGGAAATCTTAAAAGTAACTAACAGTTAAGCGCGTGTGCAAGTAGATAAAAATTGTTACAGAGAAAAGGACTTTAAAACTTTGATTACCTTTTCTGTGAGCGATGGTGGCCTTGGTAATTTGGAATTTAAAGTTTAATGCAAGGTCATTCACGAAGATTCACATGTCTTTAGAAAGAGATTAACTGTTCCTCTTGTGCAGTATAATATATACTGCACAGTGCAGTATGGGTTGGTGAGAAATACAGGCGGCACAGTGCAGTAGCCACCTGCTTACTGGGTGTTGAAGAAATTAGGAGAATCGCACTCAGAATTAGAACTTGCCAATAACTTTTCTGCATTTTGAAAGAGAACTTTTTTTTTGTAACACGCTACTTAAAAATGTGTACACATATGTACATACATATCCATACGCGCACTGCCACTCTGGAGTACTTTGGAAATGGGGCTACTTGTATTTCTTAAACAAAACGAGTGTAATGGGAAGCTCGAAATACGGTGATTCTCCTCTGAAATGTTACAGTAAAAATAGCACTGGTTGTTTCTTTAAGCTTGTTCTTTATGTGGTAAATCACACGTGCTCGCTTTTCTGACAAACACAAGTTTTTGCTGTTGTCGGGGCTGGAGGAAAATGATTTTGGATCCTAAGACCCAGTCTGCGCACTACGAGCAGAGTTATTTATAAAGTTTGTGCTACAAATGCAGATACTGCAGCGCAAGTGATGCTGGGGCTAGTAGGTACCCGGGATGTCTTTTGTGCTGCAGTGAAAAACGCTGTTTACCTGCAGGGAGAGCAAATTTTTTTTTTTTCCATGAAATTTCCTGAGGGAAGGTAACACTTGAACGCCCTCATGCATTTTTGTAAAATTATTTTTCGAAGTACAGCAACTAAACGATCATCGTTTAAAAAGTTGAGGAATGACGTTCCTGACTTGTGAACCTTGCCGTGCACTCTGAGGTTTAGGACTTTACCATGGGGGGTGGGTGTTTTGGCTCTGATCTGGCATTTAATCAGGTGCTCAACTCTAAGTAAGTTAGTAATTCTGTTGACTTTGATCTCCCTTTTTCAGGTTAATGCTGGAGCTTTCTGGCCGATGTGATCCTCACCTACAGTAGGGCCTCAGCACACAAACCACTGCTAAAGCCTCCTGAGGCACAGTCAGTTTTGACATCAGTAGGAAAAACCCCAGTTGATTTCAGCATGGAGCGGGTTGGGCCCATTATTGTGACCCTGAACGTTAGGCTTAAATGATGTTTGTCTGTCCCTAAGAGACACAGATAAGTCTGTGCTGTGTCATGTTTTCTGTAGTTCTGGGAAGAAAATGCATTTAGACAGAGGAATGTTCGTCTTCCAGTTTGTTTGACTCTCGGGACTTCACTAAGAATATTGAGTTAGTTAAAATGTCTCTGTGCTTTATTGTGTAATATAATAATTTTATACAATACATGGTATGTGTTTTCAATTTTAAAAAGTTCTGGGTTAGAGTATTACCGTATGGCTGGAAAGAATTTCACTTTTAAAGATGAGTGAGCTAGTGAGAATTATTATTGCTTCCATGTTTACTTGCAACAATGAAAATGGTTAAAAACACATCACTGCTATGAAATGCCTAGCTTTTAACTTTAATTTTGCTTGTGCTAATGCGCAGTATAGCTGTAGATAGAGAATGGAGCACTACAGAAAAATATTTGAATAATGGAGCTTATTATTAAATGTTTTACCTAAATATTGTTGCCTTTTTATAGAACATTGCCATGATTTTATGGTTTCGCTCGCCTGTAACTATTTACAATGACTTCTGTTCCAGACAGACGTGAGAAGATAGGCTGGGTGGGAAGAGGCAGTTACAGCCTGGGAATTGTTTGTCGGCTGCAGGACGCATGCAGCTCCTCTCGACATCAGTGGTTTGGGCCGGTCAGCTCCTCCCAGGATTTGCAGGCAGAGCAGCAGTTAGACGTCTGTACAGCTGCATCAGGTACCTGAAGGCAGAGGGGAGTGAGGAGAGTAAAGCTGGGAGAGAGGGGGAAATGCAGAAAAAGAAGGGAATTAAGATACTCCAGGGGAGAAACAGGACATAAGTAGCGGAAGCAAGGAAATACAAATGAGGGAAAAGGGGAGAGAAGAACAGTTTTGAGGGGAGAAAAGTGGAAGAATAGGATACCAGACAGGAAAGGAGACAAGCAAAACAAATAAAACCCCAGCAGATAAAAAGAAGAGAGGGAATGAAACAAAAGGGAAAAAAAACTAATTCTTGGCAGAAACAGCATCTGTTGTCAATAACAGCTGAGTATTTCAGTTTCTGGAAAAGCTGTTTCAGATGTGGGGGAGGAAAAATGGACGGGGATCAACCAAGTGACCTGAGGTGGGAAAAGTTGTAGGCAGGAAATATGGAATTAAAGAGTAAAAGAGAAAGGAGGGAGATAAAAAGACAGAGATAAGAAGGCTA